TTGTCGATTTCAGAAAAGGCAGGGACAACCACATTCCTCTGTGCATTAATGATTCACCTGTGGAGATGGTTACCAGCATCAAATTCCTGGGTGTGCAGTTAACAAGTAGGCTGGCTTGGTCGCTCAACAGCGAGACACTGGTGAAGCGGGCACAGCAGCGCCTGCATTTTTTGCATCGCATGAGAAAAGCACATCTTCCTTCCCCTGTCCTTCCCACTTTCTACAGAGGGACGACTGAGAGCATCCTGTCATACAGCATCACAGTCTGGTTTGGAAGCATCACTGCTTCAGACAGGAAGGCGGTGCAGAGAGTGGTGAGGATGGCAGAAAAGATTATTGGCAGTTCCCTCCCTTCCATCCAGGACACAGCATATAAGCACTGCTTGAACAGGGTCTGCAAGATTGTCTGGGACACTACACATCCTCTTCACGACCTGTTATTCCTTGTTACCTTCTGGGAAGAGGCTTTGTAGTAGCCGAAGCAGAACATCTGGATTCAGTCACAGCATTGTTCCATACAGTGTTAACAGTATTAACAGTATTAACAGAGCAGTGAGAATGGCCGAAAAGATCATTGGCAGTTCCCTCCCTCCCATCCAAGACATAGCACAGAAGTGCTGCTTGAGCAGGGTCCTGTAAGATTGTCTGGGTCATTACACATCCTCTTCACAACCTGTTTTCCTTGTTACCTTCTGGAAGGAGGCTTCGTGGTATCCGAAGCAGAACATCCAGATTCAGCCAGAGTTTCATTCCATACAGCATTAACCTTGCGAACTCTCAAGCTTCCTCCTTCCGTTACATATTCAAGATGGACAATATTTAATATTTATTTGCTATGTATATGTAGGGATGTGGGTCTATATATATGTTGTTCATAGTATGTATTAGGTGTGTGTCATGTATGTGTTTCACTTTGAGAGCGGGCAACTAAATTTCATTTTTGATGTGTGCCATTGTGCCCACAGTATAAAAATGACAATAAAGGTTATCTTATCTTATCTTGTGAACTCAAGATGGACAGTGATTAATATTTATGTTACTTATATGTAAGGGTGTAGGTCTATACATATGTTGTATATAGTATGTTTAAATGTGTGTTATGTATGTGTGCACTTTGAGAGCAAGCTACTAAATTTCATTTTTAATGTGTGCCATTGTGCCCACAGTAAAAATTGACAATAAAGGCTATCTATCTATCTATCTATCTATCTATCTATCTATCTATCTATCTATCTATCTATCTATCTATCTATCTATCTATCTATCTATCTATCTCCTTTTTGTATAAGGATAGTGCTATTTTGTCTATCTAAAGATCCACACTCGAATATGTACTCCAACAAGAATGAGGACATGCTTCACCCATACTGATGAGAACCAAAGGAGCAATCATAGGTACAGTCCTGGGAAGTATACTATATTGAACCCAGGAGAATTATTTCTAAGAAGTGATGCACAGCAGCATTAGCTTCTCCAATCCCTATTCCTACAATGCTTTAAAGGATCAAATGTCAGTGATATTATGAGATATTCATAAACTTGTTCATTTGCTAATGGGATGTGTGCTGCCATCACAACCCAATCCGAAAAAAGAAATAGACCACTTTCTGCCATCAATATTCAAAAATCAGTATGGAAGTACTGAATCATCTAGAAACTCATCACTGATTTACAGATTGCAAAGGCTATAAAGGGTAATTTGTCTGAGAAATAGTTAGACTGAAATTTGTTAGGAAACCATTTCTCAGATAAAAAATTTCCAAGGTTTTTTATCACAGCATATTGAGTAAATTCAATAATGCAAAACGTCTTCGTGTATCTGTTTTATAAATGCTAAGTATCTATAGATGCCTTTCTCCATGATTGCTTTTATATTTTCCACTACTCTCTAACACTCAATGTCTCTGATGAATTAAATTGTAGTCTACAAAAGCTAAAGTTACGCTAAATTGTAGTCTTTAAAAGTTAGTACTACTTTTTATGATCTCTGCAGGCTGGCCCTTCCCAAACCATGGGGCATTATTTGAGAATATCTGAAGTTTGACCCCTTTGGTATTTGAGGACTGAAGAGGTTCAGTTTGTTTCAGAAAGAAAAGAAACGCCACCCTTGTGAACCCAGGAGCACTTAATAGCATTCTGGGAAGGGTTTTCCAAGTCCTGTAAAGGTGAATCAGCTGTTTAAGTACAGCATGTTGGTTGCTCTGTTTCGATGCATTTGAGAAATCATACAGCACTTTCCCTCTTTGGGGAGAAATACAAGAATTTGTGTTAATCAGTGAACAAACTACAGCGCACTCTTGTTTGGCCATCTCAGGCAGCACTTGGGGAGTTTTTTTGGGTGGGACTTTGCTTCAGTCAATCAAGTTGCCCTGCCATCCAGGGTTAAGAATATAATAATAATAATAATAATGATAAAGTTGGAAGGGACCTTGGAGGTCATCTAGTCCAACCCCCTGCTCAGGCAGGAAACCCTATACCATTTTGGACAAATGGCTGTCCAGTCTCTTCTTAAAAACTTCCAGTGTTGGTGCATTCACCGCTTCTGGAGGCAGGTTGTTCCACTGGTTAATTGTTCTAACTGTCAGGAAGTTTCTCCTTAGTTCTAGGTTGCTTCTCTCTTTGGTTAGCTTCCACCCGTTGCTTCTTGTCCTGCCTTCAGGCGCTTTGGAAAATAGCTTGACACCCTCTTCTTTGTGGCAGCCCCTGAGATATTGGAACATGGCTATCATGTCCCCCCTCGTCCTTCTCTTTGTTAAACTAGACATACCCAATTCCAGCAACCGTTCCTTGTATGTTTTAGCCTCCAGTCCCCTAATCATCTTTGTTGCTCTTCTCTGTACTCTTTCTAGAGTCTCAGCATCTTTTTTACATCGTGGTGACCAAAACTGGATGCAGTATTCCAAGTGTGGCCTTACCAAGGCATTGTAAAGTGGTATTAATACTTCACGCGATCTTGATTCTGTCCCTCTGTTAATGCAGCCCAGCACTGTGTTGGCTTTTTTGGCAGCTGCAGCACACACTGCTGGCTCTTATTTAAGTGATTGTCCACTAGGACTCCGAGATCCCTCTCACAGTTACTACTATTGAGCAAGGCACCCCCTATACTATACCTGTACATTTGGTTTTTCTTACCTAAATGTAGAACCTTACTTTTTTCACCTTTGAATTTCATTTTGTTAGATAGCGCCCAGTGTTCAAGTCCGTCCAGATCCTCCTGAGGTTCTTCTCTTTAATGCTTTGAACACAATTTTCTCCCCCCCCCTTTTTTTTTAATTAAGAAACCGAGTCAAATGGCGATCCTAAAAAAAGAAAACGGTAAGAATCCTGTTGACGACTGTGTATTTATACTTCTAACATTTCAAGGACTATTTATATACTTTACGCTCATTTAGTAAGACGAAGCTGACTCATCCACGTTAGGCGTGGAAGCAACGCTCGTTCCTCCTCGTTCAGGATAGACCTCTTGCGAGCGTCACCCGAGAATGCCACCTCCTTTTCCTGGAAAGAGGAAAAA